AACTGTTGGACATTGAAGTTGGAGACCCCTATGGATCGGACCAAACCCTGAGACAATGCATCTTCGAGTCCACTCCAGATCTCGCGATTAATTTCGTCGGATTGTGAGGGAAAGTGAAATAAAATCAAATCCACGTAACTTTGGTTTAGCTTCTGGAGCCCTAACCGCACGTTCTCTACCGTTTCGCTCCGGGATATGGGAATGCTTTGACCGATCAGTAGAAATATTTTAGTCGATATGAACAGGTCTTCTCTCCTCACTTTCCCCGCACTTATCAATTCATTGACCGCTTCACCGATTGCCTCCTCATTCCCATAGAGAGCCGCCGTATCGATGAGTCTATAGCCGACGTCAATGGCATCCCTGACCATCTGTTTAACCAGTTCCCCCTGTGGCGCACCATCAAACCCTCCCGTTCCCAAACCAATTACAGGACAGTCCACTCCATTGTTTAGGCGAAATGTTTTTGAAACTGTTTTTAATATAAAATATGTATGTTTTAATAAATTACTACAATCATATTAATAAATGCTTTACTAATAAATTCATACCATTTTCAGCCAAAACAATGCCTATTATAAGTGATACTATAATCAAGAATTGCATTCTTTATGATATGACACAAGTTTGTGTTGATGTGGAAGAGTACTAATATTAATACAATTAAATATGTATTTTAAATATAAATCTCATTTTTGTTTTATTTAACATAAGGATGCTTTTCACACCACATTCAGTAATAGTGTTATTAACCTTTTTTAATGTACATTATAATGTATACAATTATACAATTAAGTACAACGTATACCTTAATGTACTGTATATAATTTTTAATGGTATATTTATGTATGAAATAAAAATAAATATTGTTATTTGTTATTTTCAAATTAATTTTAATTAACTAATCTTTAATTACAAAGAAATAAATATACTTTTTAATTAAAATTTCAATCTTAAATTGTATTGAATACAAATACAACTATAATGCAGTATTTCATTTCATTTCATCCAACACTTTCATCTCATTATCAGTTAGACTCCAATCAAAGACATCAATATTTTCTATTAAATAATTCCTTTTAGTGCTCTTAGGTATGGCCACAACCCCTCTCTGGACCTGCCATCGGATCATAACAGAAGCCGCGCTCTTGTTATGACTTTTGCCAATTGAACCAATGGTGGCATCTTTCAAAAGTGTACCTGCACCTAATGGCGAGTATGCCGTCATACGGATATCATGTTTATTGCAATACTCTATCAATTGGTCCTGATTTTGTTGGGGATGACTCTCCACCTGAAGCATAGCCGGTATTATTTTGGCGCTTTTCAAAAGACTATCAATTTGTGAGATTTGAAAGTTTGAAACACCGATGGATTTGATGTGTTTCTCACTGACAGCCTCTTCCAGTGCAGACCACACCTCGCTATTGACGGCATCAGTGGACGGCCTATGGATGAGCATTAGGTCCACATATGTTGTGTTCAACTTCTCGAGAGCCAACGCAACGCCTTTTAATGCCTCGGCTTTAGAGTCGGTGTCGACCGGCATTATCTTTGTGGTGATGAATAGGTCTTCCCGTTTAAGAACTCCTTTAGCAATCACTTCAGTGACTGCCTGTCCAACGGCTTTCTCGTTGAGGTAGGCGCTGGCCGTATCAATGTGTTTGTAGCCGACATCAGTGGCGTCGTGAACCATCTGAATGACAACCTTATCCTGTGGCGGACCACCACTTCTG